ACTAAAAGGTAAACAACCTAAAAAAATTAATTTAGCTAATTCTTCCCGCTCTTTCACTATATCATATTTACCCATTAAACTGCCAGTACCCGGGTTAAAATTTTGTTGCCCACCTTCCTCATCATCACCCCATGCAATAGGGTGATTATCTACCATGTGCCTACGAAGTTGACCTGTTCCCCCTTGCTTACCTTTGGTCTCATGTTTATAAACTTCCTTACAAATTTGACATATCTTCTTCTAGTCTTCCAAAAAAATTCCAATCCTCAATTCCTCTTAATAGGGAGGGGAGTCCTACCTGTATTACCACAACCCCCACCCTTAGTACTTTGAGTTTGACTAGCATTACCAGGTGTAGCTGGTGGTGTTTCAAGATTATCATGTGATTGAATATCATCTAAATTATCATCTATACCATAATTTTGTTGAAGTTGCTCATAATCTACATTTAAATTTTCAGATAAACTTTCAAAAATATGTGTAAAGCTACTAGAATAACCAACACCACCTCTTGATTTATAGGAGTATTGCTCTTACTACTACCATCCCTACTAGTACACGCTTTTTTGGCTGCTCTAAATATATCATTTATATAAATTAAATTAAGAAATTACATTAATAATTATAAATAATAAAATAAAAATATACACCAAATAAGAGAAAGAGATGGAACGAGTGTACTACTAAATTTGATATCATACTTCAGTTGTTACTTGATATTTGATGATATTGAGTGTTGATACCACACTTCACTTTATTACTTGATATTTAATAATTATAATTTTGTAGTGGCAAAAGTAAATATTTGATGAAACTTGAAATAATAAGTAATTGAGAATTTAAGAGCAATAAGCAATATTATCAAGAGAGAATTGAGAGAGAATTAGAGTAGTAAGAGAGCAAACTGTAAGAAAAAATAAAGAAGAAGGGGAGCTATTTATAATTTTTAAAAGGTTAAAATTATAATTTATCAATTATTAGAGGTGGGGAGGGCGGCTATTTTCTAAAGGGGTAGGCCAAAATGGCTATTTTGGCAAAAAGGGTCGTTGCCCAGCGGTCGTTTTTAAATTTGGCCGTTGGAAATGGTCCAGAAATTAAAAAAAATTACAGCGGTAACCGGGCTGGACCGGGTTGTAGCCCGGTAAAAGCCTGGTAACGGGTAACCGGCCTAACCGGGTCCCCGAGCACCAGTTACCAAAATATGTTCGTTCCCTCCTGGCTTCCCCCCCAACCCTCCCCAACTCGTCCCACCCCTTAGCATATCGGGCTGACCCGGGCTAAACCGGGTCGAACCGGGCTGTATTAGGGCTGGCCCGGCCCGATTAACAGGTATATTCAAAGCCTTTTAATGATTGTCAATGGTAGAGAGTCAAACACCTTCAAAATTTATTGATTACCAATTTTAATTTGAACACTAATTCTGCAACATGAAAGGAAATTATTACGTTAAAACGATTGAAATTCATTGATAAATTCCTTTAGTGAGATTCGTTTATCTTTTTTACCTTTTAAAAATAGATTTTGCATTAGACAAGATAGTTACTGAATTTGTTTTCCTATATTTTTAGGACTTTAAAATTAACTAAATTAAAAATTTTAAACTATTCTTTACTTTTTTTTGGTCGGAAAGATAAGTTATATTATATAAACCTTAAAAAGATACAACACACTTGTTAAGTAGATGAATTAAAGGCATCCTTTGTACAAAAGTAGCATGACTAGTAGTAGAACTAGTAGTTAAACTAGACAGACTAGTAGTAGAAGTAGTAGTTAAACTACACAACATAGTAGTAGTAGTAGATGGCACACTCCTAGATATACTATTAGTATTACACAAAACATTTGAGGCAAAAGGTGATTTAACTGAAGCAGTAGTGCTTCTCCTAATTAGCCTTCTTTGTAACGTGCCCTGTTGATCCTATGTGTAGGAGGGCGTAGCAAAAAGTGGTGGTTTTCTAAAAAGTAAGTAGTGCTCCTTTGTATGCATTGCTCCATATGTAGCTAAGTTATCAACAACACCATTTTACTCTCTGTAGATATGTTGTAGAGGTGGACTATCCAGCTATCGAAGTAACGACTTGTAGTCATTAATAATATTAGTATATTGGATTGTATGTGATTGAAACATAGCTATAAGTACTTGTGCATCTGTTTCAATGACGAGGGGCTTTATCTCCATTTGTGCAGCAAGTTGGAGTCCCATGAGAAGTGCAAGAAGTTCTATTTGTACAGTTGTGCCTTCTGGTGCACTTCCTGCAAACCCTATAATCCAATGTCCTACATTCCTAAAAACACCACCAATGCCATATTTGCCCTTGCTTGATGAGCAGGATCCATCAATATTTAATTTATAAGTGTCTCGATTTGGTGGATGCCATTTTATACACAGGTGTTAGGGGGTGAGGTTTTTTTGGAGGATTTGTGAGAAAATAATATTCAGCAACTGGTTTAACAATATTGTAGTTGTAAGAGTGCACTTTTTGTTTTTCTAGTAATCGTTTTTTTCTTATTGTCCAAAGTTGCCACATGGCAAATGGAATTACTGTTGTGTATGGAATATTCTTAGAGGTTAATGATGACACTGTGTAGAAAAGTTGATGCAACCAGTTGAGAATGGTATATTGTGTCATAGGAGTAGTAAGGGTATTAATTGGAATGCCTAGAGATGTCCAGAGCTGTCTAAACTGAGGACATTTCCAAAATATATGGAGGATTGTTTCCGGGCATGTGTTACATTGTTGGTATGTGTCTAAATCAATAATACCTAGTCATGCAAGATATGTTGTTATTGGGAGTCTGTCATGACACATTAACCATAAGAAGAAACTTATTTTTGGTGGAATATGAAGTTTCCAAATCCACCTATAGGATTGAGATGTGTGTATGCTCGTTGAAAGAATATTCTGTATTAAGGTGTTGTAGATTGATTTTGTGGAAATTTACCGTTGTCTGTTAGAGCCCAGTAAATTTGATCAGGTGATACATGTGCGGTAGGCATGTAAATTTTGGCTATTAAAGATTTTAAACTTGCTGGTAAAGCCATAGGTAAATTCTCCAAATGACATGCATTATTGTAGTAATAATGTGAGACCAATTTCCTCTCCTCATATTGTGGTAGTGGCCCTTCCATGTAGTTACGAAGAGTGGTATTTGTGAGGATCCATGGATCATTCCAAAACCTAACATGTTGTCCAGTAGTAAGATTCCAATTGTACCCTAGACGACAGTAGGACCAGCCTTTCATAATATTACGCCAAGTATTGGATCCTATGCCTTTGGAGAGAGGAGATGGTCGCAAATTATTATGTAATAACACGTGTGCCCATAGTTGATGTGGATTATTAAACAGTCTCCATGCAAGACTTGCATGTAGTGCTTTATTTTTGATAGTTAGGTTTTGTATACCTAATCCCCCTTGTTGGATAGGTTGTGTAACCTTGGACCATTTTACCAAATGAATTTTTTTCTTTTGTGGTGTTGTACCTTAGAGGAAATTTCGTTGGTACCGATTAAGGTAGGTAATTATATAAGCAGGTATTTTTATATAATACATCAGATGATTAGGAAGTTTGTTTAAAGTAGATCGTATTAGAGTCACCCTACCAGCCCTAGTTAAAAAATTTGTTTTCCAGCCTGCTAGTTTGCTTTTGAAATTGTTTAGTAGGAACTAATAATCCTTTTTTGATTGATCTTTATAAAGATGGGATACCCTAAATATCTGCCAAAACTTTTCTTTTCGTCCATATGAAATAGTTGAGAAATGCTTTGTTTGATTTGGTTTGTACAATTTTTTGAGAAATAAATTTTTGATTTCTCAAAGTTTATAGTTTGACCTGACTACTGTGTGAACTGACTGAGAGTATTGAGAATTGAGTGAGATGTTGTAGCAGTTATTTGAGACGTAAGTATAATGTCATCAGCAAATAACAAATGGGATATTTGAGGTCCTCTTTTTGCTAATGAAATGGGCGTCCACGCCCGATAATCTACTGCTGTGTTTATTTTTCGTGATAACATTTCCAGACATAGAATGAAAAGATAGAGTGATAACGGGTCACCTTGTCTGATGCCTCTCTTTGGTTGGAAATAATTAATGGGATTACCATTAATTAATATTGAGGTTGAAGCAGTAGTGATACAAGACATAATCAGTTTAATAATATCTGAGGGGAAATTTAAAGAAATTAGTGTGTGATGAATGAAAGACCATTCCAACTTATCGAAAGCTTTTTCTAGGTCCAGTTTGAGTAGCATTTTAAAATTATTACCCTTGGTTTTTGCAAAATTACGAATTATTTCTTGCACAATTATAGCATTGTCAGCTGCTCTTTTGTTTTTCTGGAAACTGGACTGACTAGGATGAATAATTTGTTCTAGTATTGGTTTTAGTCTGTTCACGATAATTTTTGTAATAATCTTATAGATGGTATTACAAAGGCTGATGGGCCTGTATTGAGAAATTGTGGATGCATTGTCTTTTTTTGGAATTAGGCAAATATAAATTGTATTGATTGAAGGGTCAATCTGATGATCCTGGAAAGCCTTATAAAAGAAGTATTTGACAGAGGAGCCTATAGTGTCCCAATATTTCTGGTAAAATCGAGGATGAAGACCATCCGAACCAGGAGCCTTTAACGGTTGAAACGAATTTATAGAATTTATGACTTCATCATTTTGTAAAGGGTGTATTAATCGAAGATGGTCTTCTCTCACAAGGACATTGTGAGGGAGGATTGTAGTTTTTGGGTAAGAGACTGTGTTTGTAGTAGTGAATAAATTTTTGTAAAAATGAATAATATTATCCTTTATTTGATGGGGGTTTGTAATCCAGTTCCCACTTGGTCTTGAATAGCTGTTATTCGATTATTTCTTCTACAATTCAATGTGGTTAGATGAAAAAACTTTGTATTTGTGTCACCATCATTTAACCAACTTATATATGATTTTAACTTCCAAAAGTCTTCCTCTAATCGTAGTATATGATTATACTCTGTTTTTAATTATTCTTCCAAATTTTGAAGGAAGATACTGGTTGGATAATGTATGGAAGATTGAAGACCACCTAATCGAGCTAGGAGTTTCCTTTTTCTCTTAAAAATATTACCAATAGTTGATGAATTCCAGTCCTGCACTATATTAGTAAATTCATCGATAGCTGGTAATAACTGTAAATTATTTGACCAGGCTTGCTTAACAACAGTAGGGAAAGAAGGATGTGTAGTCCAAATTGTTTCAAAGCAAAATATTTTTTTATGAGGTAAAGGCCTATACTGTAGTTCAAGTTTGATAGGGCAATGGTCTGAGTGTGTACGAGGAAGATGTGTAACCATTGCCTCAGGGAAGAGATTTAGCCAATTATAATTGGCCATAACACGATCAATGCGTTCAAGTATATTAGCTCCATTATGTCTTCCATTAGTCCATATAAAACGACTACCTTTAATACCTAAAACTATTAAGTGACAATAGTTATAACATTGCATTAATTTATTTGCTCGTGCATTACTAATGGGAAGACCCCCAAATTTATCTGCTGCATGTGTTATTTTATTAAAATCACCTCCTATAATCCAAGGTCCTTTATAATTATCATAAACACATATTATATTTTCCCATAGAGATTGTCTAGTTGTCAAGTCAGTACTAGCATAAATGGCACTAAAGAGAAATTTAAAAGGAAAAGGGTGAACTTGGATGTGGCAGTGTATCTCCTGTGCAGTAGTTGCCACAAGTTCCATATTTAGAACATTTGAGAGCCATAAAATTGCTATTCCCCCTGCCTGCCCTATAGCTGCTACCTCAATCAGGCCATTGAAGTTGAAATCCTCATTTACGGTTTGGTGACTTTGACAATGAGTTTCCAAAAGAACCTCCAAAGAAAGCCTATTATAGTCAAGTAACAACCTAAAATTCCTTCGAAAATCAGCTGATTGTGCCCCTCTACAATTCCAAATTATAAAGTTCATTGTGTTGTTTTCTGAGTCAAACAGGTTACTTCTCCTTGGATCCCTCCAACTACTGCTCTCTGCTAGGCGAACACGAAAAGTAGGAAGTAGTAGCATGGCATATTTGCCTACCTCTGGATTTGTTGGGGGCCTTATCCGAAATGAGACCTTCATTAGTCTGTGAGGACACCTTACATATATTTTTCTTTCGTATTCCTCCTTCTGGACAAATACTTTTATCCCGTTGAGACATGCATGTAGTGGATGCATTTCTCTGTTGTAGACGATTACTACTTCTAGTTCGACCTAGAAGTTGTCGTCGTGTTCTGGTGAATTGGGAGGGTTGGGATGGTGAGGTGGTGACTGGGCTGGTGTTGGAGTTGATAGTGGTATTATTGCTTCTAAGAGAGGGAGTTGTGGTTCAGGATAGGTGTATGGTTGAATCCAAGGGGTTTGTAGAGTTGGTGATGGGTAGAAAGGCAGGTGAACACGGTGTGGATAAAGGTGTTTGGGATCCCAACCTTCTCACCTTTGCCTTACACATTTGTCAAGGCAATTGCCTAATAGGAGTATTATATATTTCGGTCCCACTTGCGTATCTGAATTTCATACCCATTGGTTTGCTACCTATAGCACTGGCTCATCATTTCACAACCATTGCCTTTTGAATGAAAGAATTAATTCTTCAACATTAAGTTAGATTATTAGATTAAATTAATTTTATTTAGCATGCTTTGGTGATTTAATGAATAAAATATAAGATACTAATTATAAATAAGTCATAGTTATGTACATTAAAATATACCTATTACAGTAACAAATAAATAAAGAGCTCAATTAAAAAAACTTTGAATATAAAGAAATAAAGAAGAAAATTCCCCAATATTCCAATACTTAAGAAAGATAATAATTGGATTAATAGAAAATAAGAAAGATAATAATTGGAGTAAGTGAAGATAAGGAAATCTCACGGCAGCAACGTTAAAATTTCATTTCTGAATCATATGCTCCTTAGCTAGCTAATTTATATGTTTAAATCAATTTTAGTTTCTGTTTTAAATTCTAGGTAGGAAGTCCTAATATTTAAAACTTTAAACTCTATTTAGATTTTACCACTTCACTTTAAATAAATATACAAAATTGAACACCAACTTAAACATTTAAAATTTTAAGCAAGTTACCTCACACACACAAAACTAATTGAGAGGCAACTGGACCTTACTGCAGTGGTGTAATTAGTTGTTTGTATTTCATCTCGTGTTACGTATCTTAGTTCAAGTTACTAGGGTCGACTTCTCAATTTATGAAAATAATTCGACTTTAATTTTATTTCATGAAAGTTTGATCTCCTTATAATTGGTAAGACTTATTTGATTGTGTTTCATTTATTGTAACGATCCGATCAATCATTTTGAGCATTTGCACTTCGCTCGGTAGTTTATGGGCATGAGTAGCTCCGTAGGATGTATTATGACTTGTGCGAATCGTCGGTTTTTGTTTTCAGGTTATTCAGAATTGATTTGGAAGAATGATTCTCAACTAGAAAGCTTTAAATTGGAAGAGTTGACCAAGTTTGACTTTTTAGTATTTGACCTCAGATTGGAGTTGTGATAGCTCCGTTGGGTGATTTTGGACTTAGGAGCACGTCTGGATTGTTATTTGGAGGTCCGTAGTTAAATTTATGAAAAGTTGAACCGGGAGTGGACCTTTTGATATCGTATTCGGATTGTGGTTCTGGGAATTAGTATAGCTTTGTTATATCATTTGGGACTTATGTGCAAAATTTGGGTCCATTCCGGATTGTTTTGCTATGTTTCAGCACGAGTAGTGGAAGTTAAAAAGTTCAAAGTTTATTAAGTTCGTTTTGAGGTGTGATTCGTCGTTTCGATATTGTTATGTATGATTTAAGGCCTCGAGTATATCTGTATTATGTTATGGAACTTTTTGGTATATTTGGATGAGGCCCTGAGTGGATCGGGTGAGTATCGGACGAGGTTCGGATCATTTTTATTTCATAGCGCATTGTTGAAGGGTGCTGGTTCTGGTGTTTCCGCATCTGTGGAATAATGGACGCAGATGCAAGTCCGCAGCTACGGACACTTGTTCGCAGAAGCGAAGGAAGGCTTGGCTGGAATAGATCGTAGAAGCGGGAATAGAGGCGCATCTACGGCCGCAGAAGCGAAGGTCTTGGGCGTAGAAGCGAGAGTTAAACCGTTTGTCATCCGGACACTTCTACCAGAAGTTATGACCAAATTACCAAAGCAGCGCAGAATTTTACACTACTGCGTCGCCCCATGCGGCGCCCGGCGCGCCGCGCCTGTAGGAATTCCAGAATGGTCCGAAATTTGAATTCCAGACATATTTTGAATAGACGCCCTGCACCCCACGGTGACCCACGCGTCGCGGCTGTACAAAAACGGGTTTATAAGACCCGAATTCCATTTCATTTAACTCATTTGGGGTTTGTTTTTTTTGGGATATTCTGGTGCTTTTAGAGAGAGAGAAGAGCAATTCTAGAAAGAAGAAGAAGCTCAATGCCTTGTTCATCAAAAATCTTGTCCAATCCTTGAAATCCAACAAGAAATCCCTCAAGATCTTCATCTAAGAGGTAAGGATCTATACAATAGACTTTAATTTCGAGTTTGGGGTATAAGATGGGTTATTGAGGTATGATTCTTGGGTGTAATAGTATTATGTATACATGCATGTACAAATTAGGTTTGTGGGAAGATTGTTGAACATAAACAAGTAAAGATTGGGTTGGGGAATGAAGGAAATCTTGTAAAAGAGATTTGAAATCAAGATGCACAACTTGTAATTGATAAAATTCTCAAATGAGCTAGAATTATGAATACCTTCCTAATTTTTGTTCAATTTTGTTATGTCTCAACGTAGATTGGGATTGCTAGAATTTCCGAAACGTCGTAGTAACTTAAGGAAAGCTTAAACAAGGTATGTATGGCTAAAAACCCCTCTTCTTAGAAATTGAGCTCCCATGGTATCCCCGCATATGTTGTAAGTCCAGAATTTGATTTATGTAGTATTCATTATTTCAAAGGATTTGGTGTTGCAAAAATATATGTGAAAGATGTACCTCAATGTGTTCAATATGCTATTCTTGGTAAATTGGGGATATGTGAAGAATGTGAAGTATATGCTAAATTGCCTAGATTTCAAGTCAAGTTTAAATTGAGATTGTTATACCAAACTATGTGAAATCCTCTATGGGTAGAGATGTTTGAAATAAATCAAATGAATTTGGGAAATAGAGTATGGCCAACGTGCCGAGAACTTGAATTATAATTGTGCCTATTGATGCCTATGACATGAGGAAATATGAAACAGATTATGAAATGAGCCTTGACTCTACTTTCCCTAAATGACTTCAATAATAAAATGCCCTAAAGGCTTTGTACACAATTTATGCCCCTAAGTGGCTGTTCGAGATAATGTTTTTGTCTTTTAAGTACATCCAATGTGATCCGGGTTGTTACATACTTCGAGGTTGAAATTGTATATTATCGTGATTGGAAAAGAGTAATTCAAGAATAATTGGTGTAATTTCTTGTTTATGCCTTTGATGTGTGTTTCTATTGTGGTTTGGTGTGTCTCCTCCTTTTTGGAAGAATCCTTTGTGTTTAAAGTTCCATTGATAATGAAATTGTGGTGTATGATTTCTGAAATATTGTATATGCCCATGATTCATGATTCCTCTTATGTGTACTTGACATCTTGGAGTGAATGGCTTGTTGTTAAAATTGATATTGATGTAAAATATGGGGGAAAATAGCTCGAATCATGAAATGTGGCCTAGTGCCAAGGATGATGTGATAATTGTGGCCCCAAGTGCCGATGAACTATATATGTGAAACAAAAATTGAAGTGAGATGATTAATGGAAAAGGGTAACATTTTGATAAGACGGCTTAGCCGATCGAGCCGTGATCAACTACCATGCTACACATATGGTGGTATTGTATTGATATTGAAATCGGAAAGTGAGAATGAAATTATGATTGAGGTAACGTCTTGGTAAGACAGCTTAGCCGATCGGGCCGTGATCGGACGCCAAGATATATACACATGGTGGTAATGTATTGATGATTGAAACTGGAAAGTGTGAATGAAATAATGGTAACGTCTCCGAGAGACGGCTTAGCCGATCGGGCCGTGATCGGACTCCGCTCAAAGAAGCGGTGGCAAAGTGGATAATGATGCATAGTGGGATGCTCCAATCTAAAATTTCAGAAACTATGTGAAAATCATTTGAACCTCCTTATATTGTTGACATGGTGCTTATTTGAAACTTTGTTGTCTTTATGATTTCCTCTTTATTCTTGTATGAAAGTTATTTCTAAATAGATGGTGTTTAGTTATACATACTAGTGTTATTCGACGGCACTAACGTCCCTTTGTCGGGGGCGCTATATCTTTAAATGGATGTAGGTGGTTCCATAGTAGGCAGTGTTGGTCGCAGCTAGTGACGCATCTTCCTTTTAGCTGATTTGGTGAGCCCCACTTCATTTCGGAGTCTTGTACCGTTGTTTCTCATATACTTTGTATTTATAGGTATATACGGAGCCTTGTTTCCGGCATTTTCATATTATTCTTCAGTTGTATTTAGAGGCTCCGTAGACAGTTGTGGGTCTTGTTTGGTATTGGAAATTAAATTAGAAATATTGGTATTTGGCAAATATGTTTTCCTTCATATCTATAAAAATTTTCACATTTTGGATACTATGGTTGAAATGGCTAATGAAAACAAAATGGAAGTTGTTAATGAAATATTTATAAAGTATGATTAATGGAATCCATCTCCTCTTTATTCATGAACTAGTTTGGGTAGAATAAAATCTAATAGGCTTGCTCAGTCAGGTTTACTCGGTTGAGCGTCGGTCGCCTTCCACGGTTTTTGGGGCGTGACACATATACATGACATCTGTCTACAAGCCTCTAAGAGTACATAAACGTCATAAAGGTCGGGACACATACCAATCAATATATGTCCAAAGCATACTGACCAAATAGGCAACTCCAGAGCAAGTGGAGTGCACCAACACCTTCCGCAGAGCTGATAGCCTACTAGGAGGACTATCAACCAGTCAATCGGGACCTGCAGGCATGAAACGCAACATCCCCGGGCAAAAGGGATGCTAGTACGAATAAAGTACCGAG